CAACTCCTGGGCTCAAGCGAGTCTCCTGCCTCCGCCTCCCAAGTAGCTGGGACCACAGGCGCCCGCCACAACGTCCGGCTGTTTTTTGGTTGCAGCCGTCGTTGTTTGGCGAGTCCGGGCTGGGCATTGGAACCCGCCACGTTAGGTGTACATGGCTGGCGCCTTAGCCGGTTGAGCTATAGGCGCCAAGCCGAAAGATTTTTTTCTAATCACCCAATTTAAAGTAACTTCCCAGTTATTTTTTACCATGCCACCCCAGTTTATTTTTGTGTGGCTTTCATCTCTATTTAATATTTGTCTTTTGTCAGTCTTTTCAGACCTAAATGCATACTCTTATATGTTCTGTTTACTGCTATATCATACGTGGTTAGAACAGTGCCTGGTGTAGAGTGGACATTCACTGTGCAATAGTTGAATTAAGTGACTTTATCTTTTTTAAAAATTGCATATCCCATCTGCTTGAATTACGTAAATTTTAGCTGTTATACTAGAAGCAGGCTTAGTAAATATTACATGTTAACATCTGTGTTAAAGACCAAAAAAAAAAAAAAAAACCCTTTTTAACCAGTTTTATTTGCCAAGAAAACTATTTATTAATTGGTTGAATAATATAAAATGCAAAGGTCTGGCCAGGCACAGTGGTTCATGCCTGTAATCCCAGCACTTTGGGAGACTGAGGCAGGAGGATTGCTTGAGGCCAGGAATCTGAAACCAGCCTAGGCAACATAGTGAGACCCTCTTGCTACAAAAAATTAAAAAATTACCCAGGCATGGTGATTTATACCTATAGTCCTAGCTACTCAGAAGGATGAGAGAGGAGGATCACGTGAGCCCAGGAGTTCAAAGCTGCAGTGAGTTATGATCATGACACTGCATTCCAACCTGGGCCACAAAGTGAGATCCTGTCTCTTAAAAAAAACAAAAAAAACAAAAACAAAAAAGTTCTTGATCCCTGGCACTTCAGTCCACATGTCATTAAGGCAAAGCTTAGGGGGAAATAAAAGCAAAACTTTTTTCTAAGAACCACATTATAAAATGACCAGAAGCCAGTTATATTAACATTTGCTTATAGTTTCTATGACTACGAAATATAGTTTATTCTCGGGTAAATTGTAAGATGAAGTACATCATATTCTTAGATTACTATGGAGTTCTATTAACAAACTTAAATTTCCTTAACCGAATTTCTAAACTCTTAGTTAAGGATTTATTCTACCAAGTAATATTTTTACTTTTGTTCCTTGCATATTTTACAGTAAATTTTGTAGCATTAGTCAACTGACCAACAAATACATGATAATAACGAACAGTTTTTCAGTTTAGAAACATCGTGTTGAGGTCTGATCCCTTAATTAAATATTAGGTTAGAAAAATTGACTTAGCAGTCATATTTACTGCTTATGTAATAACTCCATGAAAGAAAATTCCATGTCTTGGCAAGTTTTGTAATGTACTAAGCATTACAACAAAATATAATTTTTAGAAGTCACACATGTTTAAAGAAATGGACTATCATATAAATAAAAATAAAGAGAGGGATGGCTGGGCGCCCACAGCACAGTGGTTACAACATCAGCCACATGCACTGAGGCTGGCAAGTTTGAGCCCAGCCCGGGACCAGCTAAACAATGACAACTGCAAAAAAAAAGCCGGGTGTTGTGGCAGGCCCCTCAAGTAGTCGTAGCTACTTGAGAGGCTGAGGCGAGAGAATTGCTTAAGCCCAAGAGTTGGAGGTTGCTATGAGCTGTAATGCCACAGCACTCTACCAAGGGCAACACAGTGAGACTCTGTCTCCAAAAAAAAAAAAAAAAAAAAAAAAGAATAAAGGGGGAATTTCAGATGGAAGAAAAAGTATGAGCAAAGGAAGAAAATATCACAGGAATAAGAAAATCTTGTCTTGGCAAGCCTCTATTTCTAAGTATGGTTTTTTTTCGTTGCCATATAATTAATGTTAAGAAATTATATAGCATTTTTATTGTCTACATAGGGATCAAATTTAGATAATCAAACTTCATCTGTTCCGTAAAACAAAAATATGTATATACACAGCATCTGAAAAGCTACTTTAGGTTATTTATATACTTCTAAGTTGAGCTAAAACCTCTCATCTTTATAAATCTGATAGAAATTATTTTAATTTTGTTCTTTTTTTATTTAGGCAAAGATGCCATTTACACGATTCCAGTAAAAAACATTCTTGCCGTGGAAAAACTGGAAGAGAGCTCTTTCAACAAGAAAAATGTAAGTTATATAGGTAAATATTTATAGCCTTCTGAACTGCATACATAAATTAGTTGAAAAATTTTAAGAGGTTGTTTTAGTGTTAACAAGTAATCATTAACAATTTATAAGTTGCTAACTTGAACTCTGCCTTAAAATTGTCCATTACAATTGATGCCTCATATTTTCTGCCTACTTTAAGTTAAAAATACTTTTCTCAATTAACTTCTCTTTTATTAACTTCTCTACATGACATTCAAGCTAAGTAATATAGTCTCAACCTATCTGCCCAGCTTTGTCTTCTGCTACCCCTCAGTACATGCCATGCACTCAGGCCAATCCAGATGATTTCCTTGTTCCTCTGATATTTTCCCACTGCTTTGCCTATGCACAAACATTTTTTTCCATCTGAAATTCCCTCCCTTTATTCTTATTTATGTGGTAGTCCATGTCTTTGGACATGTGTGACTTCTAAAAATTTATTCTGTTGTATTGCTTAGTACCATGTACTAGACAACTAGGACAACTAGGTTGTCTTTGGAACTAATTTGCTTTAAAAGTAACAAATATAAAATACTTTAGCTGCAGTTATCTAGTCAAGCAAACTAGATTTCTGTTTTGTACTTTTTCTGTTTTGTGTGGTTTAGACTCTGTTACTAACTTTTTATCTTAATTGCCTTATGAAGATGTTCCAAGTTATACATACGGAGAAACCACTCTATGTCCAGGCAAATAATTGCGTAGAAGCTAATCAATGGATAGACATGCTCTGCAGGGTGAGCCGATGCAATCAAAACAGGCTCAGTTTTTATCACCCCTCTGCATATATCAACGGAAACTGGCTCTGCTGTCAGGAGACCAGTGAAAACGCTCTCGGCTGCAAGCCATGTACTGCGTAAGTTTCTTTCTGATTGAAATAGCAATGTTTTAAAATGTGGTATATCCACACAATAGTATACTGTTTGGCTGTAAAAGGGAATGAAGTACTGATACCTGCTGCAACGTGAGTGAACCTTGAAAACATGCTAAGTTAAAGAGGGCAGACATAAAGGCCACTTGCAATAATACTGATGAAAGCATCCAGAATAGGTCAATTCACAGAGACTATGAAAAGTAGGTAGTGATTGCTAGCTGCTGGAGAGAGGGAGAAGTGGGCCATGCACATGGATTCAGGGTTTCTTTTGGGCATAATGAAAATTGTTCTGAAATTAATACTAATGCAAATTTTTAAAAAATTATAAAGGCAATATTTAAATAGAAGCACAAGCTTGAGTAGATATCAAGGAAAAGGGGGTCCTTAACACTCTTTTTCTAATTGTATGAAACAACCATTATAGCCCTGTAGACTTAAGTAATGATGTATTATTTTTGTGATGAAGCACAGGTTATGAAAATGGTTTTACTTTAAAATTCTGTTCCTTACGAATAGAGTTACATAATGACCAAACCTCTCTTGGCCCCATTTTATTTAACTGTTGGATGAAACTAAATTTCTGGTTTCCCTTCTGCAAAATTCTGTGATTCTACTTTTAGTCTCAAACCATCAAAAGTATTTCACATGTTAACAGAGTAAAATTTTTCCAATGTCTTTAATTTTATTTTACCATAGAGGTATCCCTGCAGATATCCAAATAGATATTGATGAAGACAGAGAAACAGAAAGAATTTATTCCCTTTTTACCCTCAGTTTTCTTAAGCTGCAAAAGATGGAAGGTAAATGCACAACTAATCTATTTTATATACCCATAATCTTTCATTACCAATTCCTGAAATATTGCTTTGGGCATTTCTAAAAGTTAAAATACTCATAGATTTATCAAAATACTGTTTATGTAAAAGTTAACAAACCCCTAGAGGGGGGCATTTTCATTGACATTTATAAAATACAAATACTTGTTTTTACATGAATTTGGTGATTATAATTAATAAAATCTATGTATTTTAGTTATCTATGCATTGCCAAGGGAAATTTCCCCAGCATGAGACACTTGAAAAATACTTATCTGTACTACAAATTGCATTTATGGAATTTAGTTGTCTGATCAGAGGTTTTACTGCTTCTTGTAGAGGCTTGTGGAACTATAGCCGTCTATCAAGGACCACAGAAAGAACCTGATGATTATTCTAACTTTGTAATTGAAGATTCTGTAACAACCTTTAAGACAATTCAGCAAATAAAAAGCATAATAATGAAGCTGGATGAACCTCATGAAAAGTATAGGAAGAAAAGATCAAGTAGTGCAAAATATGGGAGCAAGTAAGTCGTTTTTAAGCTACTATAAACTTTTTTTTGTTTGAGACAAGAGTCTCTATCACCCTGTGTAGAATGCCTTGGCTTCGTTATAGCTCACGCTAACCTCAAACTCTAGGCAGGGCAAGCAGTCTTTTTTCCTCAGCCTCCAGAGTAGGTGGGACTACATGCCACGACACTCAGTTAATTTTTCTACTTTTAGTAGAGACAGGGTCTCACTCTTACTCAGGCTGGTCTCCACATCCTGAGCTCAGGAGATACTCCAGCCTCTGCTCCCCAAGTGCTAGGATTACAGGCATGAGCCACCACACCTGGCCTACAAACATTGTTTTAAGCAGAGTTTGCGATTGCCCCTCCTGCCCTGTCCTCACCCCTGACCTGCAGGCCTCCTGCTTACCCTCATTTGCCAAGACCCAGCTCAGAGCCTTTGTCTTATGTAAGCTGGTCACTGAAACTCAAAGCACTCTTTGTCTTCTGTGGTGGTGCTGTACTTAATTGTCACTTTTTATGTCATGTTCAATAAGTCTTTGAATACCCAGTATTTTTTGTTTTTATTTTGTTTTTAACTGATCCTTCTTCTCCTTTATATCTCCCACAATACCTTTACGTACTGGGGGGAAAAAAAACTGTGAAAGTACCAGAAGTATTTTATAGTTGCTTTTTTGGATCCATCTCATATGTGGATGGATGCTACCACAGACAACGACAGCCACAGCTAACATTTACTGCGAGCTTACTTCACCATGGAGCACTATAATTGCATCATATAATTTAGATTGCTTTTAGCAGTAAGTACCAAAGTGAAGTGGCTTAAACAATAAGAAATGTTTTAGTCTCACTAATTAAGTCCTAACTTCTGCAGTTGGTTAATTTAGCAGCTTAGCACTGTCATCAAGTAACATCTGCCTAAACAAGCTAATCTCTGGTCTTCCTCAGGCTTGTCACAGATGGTCACAGATAAATTACAGTAGTTCAGAGCACATTTTTATAAGATACTGTCCAGAGGTAGAAAAGGCTATTTCCTCCATGCCAAGAGAAGGGAACCTTATCTAGAGTTACCCCCAGACTCCCCTGAAGTACAGGACTGCCCAATATTAGAACAGAATTAGGGTCCTATTTATAAAGAAGTAGACAGTCAGGATAGGATATGATTCTCTTTTTTTCTTTTTTTTGAGACAGAGCCTCACTATGTTGCCCTTGGTCTAGTGCCATGGTGTCACAGCTCACAGCAACCTCAAACTCTTGGGCTTAAGTGATTCTCTTGTCTTAGCCTCCCAAGTAGCTGGGACTACAGGCATCCGCCACAAGGCCATTATTTTGTTGTTGTCATCACTGTTTAGCTGGCCTGGGCTGGGTTTGAACCTGCCAGCCTGGGTGTATGTGGCCGCCGCCCTACCTGAGCTGTGAGCGCCGCCCAGGATATGATTCTTGGGCCAGCAAATAACAGTGTTTTGTCGCAGTATACACTTTCTCATTGATCCTCACATCAGCCCAACATGGTTTTATTTTTACTTTGCAGCTAGAGAAACTGAGAAGTTAAAGGCCTCACCCCAAGGTCACACAGCTTATTAGGGAGGGGCCTCCAAATCCTGGCCCCATCACTTTAAATAGTCTTTGATAATTATGTGTATTAGTATTTTGTATTTATGAACATTAAAAATCAGTTCAACGGGTATAAATATTTACGTTCTCCTGGTTAGAAAGCTCAGCTCATTAGAAAGATTATCCTAAGCATCCCAATCTTATGTTTCCAATTAGTGTAACTGGTTCTCTACTATGAATAGTAATCCAGTTTTCTTAGAGCCTTTGGAAGTTTCCATATAAGGTCCTAGTTAATATTGACCATCCTGGGCAACGCCAGTAGCTCAGTAGGTAGGGCGCTAACCACATACACCCAGGCTGGCAGGTTGGAACCTAGCTCAGGCCAGCTAAAATCAACAATGACAACTCAACAACAACAAAAAATAAATAAGTAAATGAATTTTTAAATATATATATTGACCATCCTTCTTAAATAGTACCTCCCCTTCCAAATCCCATGCTACCCCTCCCCACTTTCATTTTCTCTATTAAAAAAATACTGATCTCTCTTGTGCTAAATATTTTACTGATTTAATATTCCCTATTCCAAGATGTAACTTCCATGATGGCAATGGTTTTGTCTATTTTATTTACTAGCGTAACCTTAACTTCTAGGATAGTGCCTAAAATGTAATAGGTGGTCAGCAATACTCATTGAATTAATGAAAGACTTGACAGGAGAGATTATGGGAAAATTATAAATACTTAATGGATTCTATATGTGTCACATTTTTAAATTTCATATTTTTTAACTTCTGAAAAATTATTTTCTTGTTTTCTAGGGAAAATCCAATTGTTGGGAAAACATCTTAGAGTCTGACCAATTGATTTCAGAAGAACTGGAAAATAATTATTTTTCTTGAAGTTTTTCAATTCATCATATGTTTTGTTCATAGTATTTAAGAATGAACATTGGCTTCAATGTCACCTACATTCATATCATATTTAATATTTAATAATCAAAATTGTTTGAGAATCTTGGTATTGATGTATTACTAGAGCATTTGAAGCCCAGGATTCTTTCGTGTGTCCAGATCCATATTTCTGCAACTTCTTCTTCATAGACTCTTCCTAAAGAAGATTCCTTAAGAAGCTTTGTAACAACGGGAGAACTCCTCCATAGCAAGAAAACCATCTCTTCTTGTAACACTGTTCTGTGGACTTGTTTTCACTACCATTAGTGCCTGCTCTCTACTGCCAACATTATGTTTTACTAGAAAATCCCAGTCCATGACAATTCAGAGCTTCTCATTTAGTTCAGCTAGACCCTCCCCTCTTTCCTTAAAAAAGAAAAGAAAAAAAATTTTCCTTTGATCTATCAGTCATTACAGGTTATATTAGAGATAGCTGCAAAAACTTGAGAAAACTACCAGAGCATCCTTGAAAGTTGGTATATCTTTTTGCCTTCTTAAAGATGTAAACACAACTCAGACAGGAAGAATCAGGGAATATGTGCTATTGTGTGCATCTCGTTTACATTTGGAATGAGTGATGGCAGATGACATATAATGAGACCATTAAATTTTTCCTCATTGTTTTAAATATCTGGTACTCATTTTCTTGATTTGAGAGTTCAGATTATCATGATTTTTAAGGACATCTTTTGTGAAAAAGAAGAAAAAGTAAACAGTGGATGAATAGTGGTAGGAAAATCACTTAACTTCACCCGCTATTTCATGTTATAAGAAGGGCCACCATAGGGATGCCCTCCTCATAGTGTGAGGTTGTGATCTAACTCGAGAACAGTCACTAGGCGCACTTTAATAATCTGGACTGCCCCAGATTATACTTCCGATACTCTGTGGTATCTAATCTTTATGATCAGTTGAATGATCAGTGTTTAAGTTTAGAATAATGCTTTCCTGAAAATGTTTATATTTCATTACTGTTTCCTTATTGCCTGCTAGCCAAATGGAATTTGGGCAAGCAACTATTTGAATACTATTTTTCCCTAAAAATTTTTTTTGTTATAAAAACCCTAACTGTAAATAAGCAGTCGAAGCCTATCACTCCCTAGAGTCATGCACGTCTTGAAGTTAAGAGGGATACACTTGGCTTCATCAGTATTAAAAACCCTTTTTTGTCTTTTTTAATTGAAAATATTTTCTAAATGTGGTACTTTGAACCTTGGCATATTTACATATGTTTCTATTTAAAACTGTGACTTATTAATATAAGTCTAACTAGTAGTGCTTTTTTGTCTCCCTTGAGCATAAGCTATATTTCAAGATATGCTTTGCCAATTATGTTATTGGTGGGCAGTTGTTTTTAAAGTATATTGTTATTAGGTAATTATTTTTAAAAACTATTGGCACACAATCAGAGTTGTTCCATAAATGTAACAAAGCAATGTATTTCTCTAAATGACTGTAAAAACCAGTTGGTTATATTTAAGAATCAGTACTCGTCTGCATTATGGTAGATGACTCTTGGCCCATTTTAAAGACAAGTTTGAAAAATTCCTTCTGGCTCAGCGCCTGTATCTCAAGCAGCTAGGGTACCTGCCACATACACTGAGCTGACAGGTTTGAATCCAGACCGGCCTGCCAAACAACAATGACAACTAAACCAAAAAAAAAAAAAAAAAAA